TAAAAAAGTTTTTTTTTATGTTAAAATTGAAGTAAAAACCCTGCAGCTGCTCAACAGTTGTTATATGTCCTCGTTTTTTAAAAATACCCATATCCCCGGCAATTAGAGGCTTAAAATTCCATATCCATTTGCTTATCTCTTTTCATATCTTTGTACGATGTTTGCAATGTACACACATAGCTAATGTTTATAAACTAGGTCTGGAAAATCTATTTTATTTAGTATTTTCCTCAGGCTGTTGATGCTCAACCTCAACCTACTTATGAAATTATTACGCACCTAAATATAAATAAATTCGCACCGTATTTAATAGTTGGCATTAATTTATTTAAGATTTACAAGTTTTCTAAAGGTGGGGGGTCAATGGCTTTGATGTCAGTTGTTAAAGCTACCCCTATTAAATAATTTAAAATTCTAATACAAATAAAATGTGTAAACATTTCTTAAGAGCTGTAGGAAAGCTTAAAAAATAAATAAATAAATGACGATTATTTTATGCGAATGTTGACGCTACTGTGCCTCAAATGATCAATACGATAGTCCAATTTTGTCATACTTTTCAACATTTCTCCTGGTATCACAAATAAATGCTTCAATGTTGTCTTCCAAAGCGTTAATTGAAGCGGGCTCTTCTTTTTAGACGTGAGCTTTGACATAGACCCACATAAATTAGTCTAAAAACGTTAAATCGTATGATGTAGGCGCCGGATTGACCTGTCCCGAACGTGAAATAAAATTTTCACTGAACTCGGCTATCAATAAGTCCATTGTTACGCGTGTTGTGTGACATATGACATCGTCTTGTTTAAACCATATATCACGCAAGTCAACCTCTCTTGTATTTTGGGCAAAAAAAAGTTGGTACGGTCCTGTGATGCCATCAGCCCCTAAAACGGAAATGACAATGCTTTTGACTGATCTTCATCCCAAAATCGACAATTCTGCTTATTTACCCACCCACGTTCCTTGCTGAACGTAAGAAGTTCTCGGCGAACTTTTTTGACAGAGCACGATAATAATATTCAATGACTAGCAAGCGTTGTTCGTTTGTAAAACGATTCGTGGTTAAATTACAGACCAAACTCAAGTTGTTTGGCGATGAAGCAAAACACGAATCGTGCGTGAGCTGTTTAAACCAGTGTTGCCAATCAGATAATAGCTAATAAATCACACTTTATTACATATTAAACATATTTAAGTAGGATAGTGAAATATAAATAAAATATTTACTTTTAAAATTTAGAAGATCTTGCGAGGATTGAAGAAAGTCGTTTGGCTTTAACATTCAAACATTTTTATAAGGAAAACATGTTAGTCTACTGAGTTGTTAATGACAGCTTTATGATCTAGGTTTACTAAATTGTTTACTAGGGTTAAGGATGTTTATTAGTTAATACAAATTATTGGCCATATGGGCTCTTTGTATTGCGTTGTATAATAAATGAAATAAATGGAAGTCGGGTCGTTCCCAATAATAGACCCGACCGTTTCGTAAAAATAGTCCTAAAAGTTATTTTCTTTTTATAACCACCTCCATAATATGGAGATTATATTAAGTTTGTCATGTAACACCTCGAAATATACATTTTAGACCCCACAAAGCATAAAACTCTATGTCGATTAAACGATGACCGTTCGTCTGCCCGTCCGTCTGTGGAAATCACTCTAGCTTCCGAACGAATTGAAGTAGATTTATAAAATTTTACTCACATGTGTGTTTGGTCTGCAGGATTTTTGGTATTGAAAATGGGCTATATACGTTTAGGTATAGCCCCCAAATAACTGCACCTCCCTATATTAGGTATTTTGATGTTTTTGGCGACATTGTTCACCGGAATTTCAAATTTCGTTATGATAGTTCGTAATGGTTACTACAGCCTGTGACAGAAAATTGGCTATACAGGTTCACGTCATATTTCGTATTTGCAATTCATACCGGGTTTTACAGCATGTGATAGAAATTTGACTATGCATCGTATTCGTATAGTCCTCATATAACGGTACCATCCGATATTCGGTATTTTGATGATTTTTGCGACTTTATTCTCGTGAATTGTTTAAAATTACGTATTTGAAGTTTGTGATGAGAACTGCAGCCTGTGAAAAAAATTGTCTAAGCAGGTCTTCGTATAGCCCCAAAATATCGGTACCTCCCTATATTCGGTATTTTGATGATTGTAACAGAATTTATAACGAATTCTATTTTTTCCAAACGGTGGAGGGTATTTAAAGTTCGGCTCCGCCTAACTTACTGCTTTTTCACTTGTTATCATATAATGTGTACTCGATATGAAAAAATGTAAGTTCAGATTTCCCCAGGAACAGATATCTCCTTGGAGACAATTATTTTATCTTGTACTCCTTAAATACAAAACAGCCACAAAATCTTTAAATCTAAAGCACCTATGCTCACTGCAAGCAGATTGCATTTTATCTTGTTGTTGTTACATTTATGTTGTCGAAATTTTAAGGTGTGTGTGTATTTTTAGGAAAATTGCATTGGGGAAGGAGGGTGTTACTGCTCACTCACCAATCCGGTATAATTAAATTTTGCAATTTGGGTCAGTTGCTGTTGCTTGTGAAATAACTACACTTAATCGCATAACGCAGACTTGTGCATTTGAATACAGGAATTATAATGTTTGAGGGGCCTTGTTATTGTAGGCTCTGCCACATTTGAATTTAATATACATGGTGTATAAAAATAGGAATGTAGGCAGCAGACATTTCTTGCATACATTTTTGTTTCATCCGCTGTTTACCAAGAAATGTGTAGAAATATCGGATAATGTGCGTATTTTGGATATCGCTTGTTGTAATAATGAAATTTGACTTAGGAGATGAGAAGACCTCTAAATATTTAAAACGTAACCATCTTAAAATGTTCAATATACTACGGTTGCCTATATATACTTAGCCTACAATATTCCATACATGTATCCAATCAACAATATATGTATGAACACGTCGTGGAAGAAATTCTGTGCTCCCCAACTTGCTATCTTTGGGCAATATTAGGGATCACATACCTGTATATTTATACCCTCAGCCATATGGCTACAGAGGGTATATATATTTTGATACGGCCTAAACTTGCCTCATCGAAATAACGATATTAGACCCTAGGTCCCTTTGGATCAAATCCGTTCAGGACATTTGGAGTCGATCTAGTCGATCCGTCCGTATGTCTGCCTGGTGCGCACGATATCCTATTTCATCCAAACTTGGTACATCGTAATATTATTGTCAAACTTAGATCGAGTCCGGAAATGGGAAATATCAGTCCACTCCTTCTGGTACCTCCCCCACAAAACGGCAATATTTTCAAAGAGAATAATTTACCGCACAGAATCCACAGAATCCATCATGTACCTTCCACACAAAGGGTCAACATTTTGAATAATTATAACTCTTATAAAATGTAAATTAAGTGTCCGATTGTCTTCAAATTACACACATCACAATACTTTTATTAACCCAAGGTCATGTGTGAAGATGGAATATATCAACCTACTTCTTCCCTCCCACACAGAGGGTCAAAATTTTGAATATTCATGAAGCTTAGAAAACGCACATCTCAATATTTCCATCAACACAAGATCTGTTATGAACATGGTGGAGATCGGACCATTCCTTCTGCTACCTTCCCCACAAAGGACCAAAGTTTTGAATAACCAAAAGGATTATGTAATCCGAAAAAAAAAAACATTCGGTTCTCTTCAAACTTCGCACATCCCATTATTTCTACTAACACAAGATCATCTGTGACGATGGGATATATCGGCTCCCTCCTTCTGGTACCTCCCCCCCAAAGGGTTCAAGATTTTGAAAAAGAAAACGCTCAAAGATAGCGAAGTAAGCATTCAACTCGCTTCAAATATTACACATCCAAACATTTTTGCTCACACAAGATCTGTTGTGAAGATGATATATATCTGCGAGTCCCTTTTGGTAACTCATATACAAAGGGTCACAATTTTCCATATTTTATCTGTCATAACTTGCGAAACAAGTCAGCGATTCTGTATCTAAATATTTCTATTAATCAGAAATATGATTATGGAATTTATAATTTCGCATAAAATTGGATCAAGGCAAAACAGACAGATACTTTTTCACTTCTTTATCCAATTTTTAAAATCCGTTTTATTGTATCATAAATGCTCAACATTTTGTTGTTTAAGTCAAAATTGTTCTCAACGCTCTTAAAAATGTCACCATTCATTACATTGTTAAGCCTCGTATTATTTTGTGTTGAGATCCAATGCATTTCTAAAAATAAGTAAAAACACAAGCAGATGTTAGTCATGAATGGCTCGTATTTTGTTTAGAAATGAAAAAGAATTTCCATGTCAGAAATGTTCACATTTCTGTCATCAGCGAATGTAACATCTACAACGCCACAATAAAATGGAATAGAAAAGAAAATTAACATATAATACTATAAAAGAACACCATGTAGTATAAATAGAAAGAGCTAGTTTGGAAAACAAAATCGTATTTCTAGTTTCCTTTGAAATAATTATTTATTTTTAGCTTATTTCTCTTTTTTTGTTATACATATTTTCGTTAGTATGAAATGAATCTGTAATAGTCTAAGCCCTGATTAGTGTTATTTCTATTAATAATATGTACAAATGCTCTGTCAATTAGAAAGAATCTAAAAAAACTAAAATTTTAACCGCAACAAGCAGTAATTGTATACGCTGAATAATAGCCAATTATAAAAATATTTCATTTATTCTAGATATTTATTTCCTTTAGAGATCAAATAAATGCTGCAGTTTTCTTCTTCTTACTTTTTTTTGTCCTATTTCAAGAAATCATTTCACAACCAGGAAATATCTTTGAAATGCGTCGAAAAAACGCCAATAAACAAAGATAATGGTGTGCATTTTGTGTTTGTAAACAAATGTTTGTTTATGTTTTTATTTTTCTTTATCCTCTATCTGAAAAATTGTATTTTTTTAATCGAAACCTTCTTTATTTTCCCTTTTCAGATCTATCACGTAATCGGTTTTGCGAATTACCCGAAGAGATAACGACATTTTCATTTCTGGAAACATTGCTGCTGTATCACAACACCATACGCAGTATACCCGAATCGGTGAAACATTTAACGTCGTTAACATATTTGGATTTGCGTAGCAATCAGTTGTCATCATTGCCACGCGAATTATGCTTCCTGCCACTGCAAGTATTGCTCGTATCGAACAATCGCTTGACAGCCCTACCCGATGAATTGGGTCGCATGGATCGTCTGACTGATTTGGATGCGTCGTATAATCAGCTGACAACGCTGCCGGCACGCATTGGAGAACTGCGATCGCTGCGATCGTTTTCGCTGCGCAGCAATCAGTTAATGTATTTACCTCGAGGTGAGTCTCCATCGAGTGTGGCATCTTTTGTTCTTTGGTATTAATGTTGTCATTTGTTTCGTTTGTTTGTTGTTGTGTCCATTTCAGAATTAACTTGTCTCACATTGGTTTCATTAGATGTATCCAATAATCGCATTTCTAGTCTACCTCTTGAAATTCGCCAGATGTCGACACTGGTCGAAATAAATCTAGAAAATAATCCTATGACTTCACCGCCAGCTAGTGTAAGTATGCAAAGATTTTCGATAACAACAGAAAATTAAGACCCCATATTTTATTTATATTCAAGGAGGCACTCGTCTTAGTTTTATTAACTTTAATTGTAAAAAAGGGATACAGCCACAGTGTTCGGACGACGTTGTGTGACAATTTTTTGTTAGGCTCTTTTCTACGTAAAATATCAATTTTCGACCACGATATTTGCAAATGGTCCGAACATCATATACTGCTAAAAACAAGAAAAATAAATGAAATTTACAACATAATCACGTTTATTTTTTTTTTTAAATATTTAAGGATGGACGCTTATTTTTTAATATTTAAATCAACTAAAAAAAGAACTGTCAAAAACTTTCAGGAAAATTAAATATTTGAATACAAAGCTTAAAATCCTCAAACTTAGTGTATTTGATTTAAAGTGTTATTGATTGTCTCTCATTAGAAAGAAAATCACATCTGGATGTTTGTTCTAAATTTTCTCCTTCTCGGCAATGATGCCAGCCTTGAATCTTATCCCTTACCTCTCTTACATCTAAAGAGAGATGTGTTCTCGAATTAACCCTTGATACCTTACTGACGACTTAAGACTTTAACATTTTTTGTGTTGGTTAAACCATGTCTAGCGCGACAGCTGCTTCGGTTGGAGATCTTTGGTCCATGTTGTGCATACTAGGAAGAAGAATTAAACATAGGATAGGGGAAATACGTAGAAGTAAAAAATAAAGTTTCTCTATTGTAGTAGTCTCTTGTTTGATAACATAGGATATCTGTATAGTAAGTGTTCAATCGTCTATATATTTTCTTCATCCTCACGCAGTCTGCAGTAGTCAGGACCACTGTTATCGTATTTTAAGCTCAGATAACTTATAACTTATGGTCAGTCATTGTAACTACCGCAATTCTTAGATCTGACCTACTAATTGATAGAAGGGAGTAGGTTATTCTTCTTCTCGCCAAATGACATAGATACCTTGAAAACAATTCCCAAGAGTCATCTCCTTTCCTCGGTGAGCACCTTTTTGGAACAGCTGACATAACAATTTATCAGTGATTTTGAGAATCTCATCAGTCGGTAGATCTATAGACATTTCCTTTCTTATTACGCTAGAGCACTTTCTTGCAATCAAGAATCACACTCGATTTGATGACACTTGACTTGATAGCTTTAAGGACCACCTAATAATGAACATATATAGTAACTGGTCTAGCTATGCATTGGATAAGTTCTCTTAGAATTTCTTGTTTGTTAGAATCTCTGACTGAAAAAGCGAAAATTACTTTAGTTTATATTAGCTCGTAATGAGTGAGTTATTGCAGAATACACCAGCCCTGGTATATTGATCCGTTCTTGGAACCGTTTTGTATAAATAGCCAGACCGGCCAGAGAAGGAGGTTCCAATCTAAAAATGATATTAATAATTATACGATTTTTTTTTTTACTTTTTTGGTATGTCCATACACAAAAAGTATCATCTTCGCACTTCTCGTAGTCTCAACTAACTTCTTGATGGTTGAAACTGAGACAGAAGAACCTGGAGATTTAGCATCATGTTCATTGCAGATAGGGGAGTGCTCTATAGAGATCCGATTGTCCGTAAAGACCTGGCCCTTTGCGCGGTTTGTTTTTTTTTTACTTAAGCGAAATTTGACTTTTTGAAACAAATAATATAAGGGCCAATCGGTGGTATCCCAGTTTCATTGGCGGTGAACCACTCCGGGCTAATACGTAAGCCATTTTATTCCGTGATTTTTGGCCGGTTGAATTAAGTTCGCTTTACAGGAAATGCTACTAAACACCCAAAAATGTATCTCGAGTGTAACATCTGTAACATCTCCAAAGTACATTTGTAGATCTCACCGGTTACACAAAAACCAATAGGTCTTAGAATTTTTCCTAATCATTTATTCTTGGATTTCTGTAGGGTGTTCATTGTTGTCCGGGGAAAACGATCTGAAAGAATGTCACAAGAAATTTAATAATAAACACTTTGTTGTTGTTGTATATTGTTGACCTGTTATATTTATTTTACTTATTTGGTTAATTGCTTGGCTTAAGGTCATTAAAAAACTATGTTTTTATTTTTGAATTTTTCCTTTTTTATTCATCCAATATTTCGATTTCCTCCGGAAATCATCTTCAGGGATCTGTTTTACAAAAAACACAAATTACAAACTGATTTTAACAATATATAACACAATAAATAACATACATTTGTAAAGTAAAAAGCTCGTCTATTGAGTTTAAATGTCACTATCAAACTAAGTTTTCTTTCGTCGGTGTTTATGAACTAGGCTTCTGTAAATGTGAGCACAATGGTCTGTATCGGTTTTATAATTAATTCGTTTGTCATTTGGCATACGTCAGCGTCGTCCCCATTACATATTATCCTATAAACTACATTGCACTTGTCCTCATTCTTAATTTTAGATTTTGTTTTACTAAACAGACTGTCGACATTATTACGAGATTTAAACGCTAATTGATAGTGGTCCTTATTGTAGATGTTTGATTTACCAAGTCTTTCTGAGAATCCCGGGATGTAAGTAACAGCTTTATATATCTTTTCTTGTCTTGCCTCCTTTATTTGGTCCGTTTTTGCGTGTATAATTAGGTCGTCAATGGTGCTTTTTGGAAAATCATTTTGGCTTAATATGTGGCGTATTTTTCTTTCGTTCTCTGAGTGGAATTGTTCGTCACTTATATTGAAAATCCTTTTGATAAAATTAGTCGCTGTGTTTATTTTTATTCGTCGGGAGTGTTTAGAATAAAAGTTAATCAATCGTCCTGACGCCGTTGGTTTTTGGTACCAATCTAATATAAGTTTTCTTCCTTGTCTGACTATTATTGAGTCCAAATAGGGTAGTCTGTCATTTTTCTCCAGTTCGTGTGTAAATTGTATGCTCGGGTTGAATGTATTTAGGATATTTAATGTGGTGTTGATATCCGATTTCTTCATTATACAAAAAATGTCGTCTACGTATTTAGTTACTGCTCTCGGCTTTGTCATCAGTTTTTCTAAAGAAGCGTCCAGTAATTCCTCCATTACGATGTCAGCAATGATCGGTGACGCTGGTGATCCCATAGGAAGTCCTTTTCATTGTTTGTACACCTTGTCCGAGTATATGAAATATCTTCAGTCCTTTATACAAAAGGTCAGTATTTCTTTAAAAACTTCTTTAGGTATTTTCGTGTATTTTTGTAACATGTTCCACTTTTCATCTATTGTTCTTAAAGCTAGGTTAATCGGTATGCTGGGAAACAACGAAACTACATCAAATGATATTAATACCTCGTCTTCTTCAATCTCCAAATTCATTATCTTTCTTTTAAAATCAATTGCGTCCTTAATGTTATATGGTGAATCCCCTGTCAAGTGTTTTAAAATATTTACAATATACTTGGAAAGTCCGTGAGCTGGTGAATTTATTGAAGAACATATTGGTCTTAGAGGTGTGTTTTCTTTATGTATTTTTTCAAAATTCGAGAGTTACTTGCCCGAGTCTACTATTGTTGAGGGTTATGTCAACTACTTCTCTCCTTACAAATGTCTGTCTTTTTTGTCCGCTGTCTTTTGCAAAGGACATCTTAGTCAAAATTCCGGTTACGTAAGCTAACAATATGAAGTTTAGATAGACCGTCCCTATAGATAACAACTTATTTTGATTAATTGTTAAATTCGCTTAAATAGTCTAAATTGAAATATTTGCATTTCTCATTACAGCTATGTGTTCGTGGTCTTGTTCATGTTTTTAAATATCTGGAGACTCAGGCTACCAAAGACGAGAAAGGCTCACGGGCAGGCGGTAACTACGATGGGTACACAACTCTCAGGCGAGCACCCCGTAATCAAGCGGGCGGAAATGTTGTTGATACTCATCGCATTGGAAGACACCATGTGGATTCCGGTTATAGTACATGTGATGGCATTGATAAAAGATGGTCGCATGATATGCCCAGTAAGATTTTTATATTTTAAAATAATTAAAAAAATCTAAATAATTGTATTATTCTCTTACAGTTAAATCAAAAGCTGATTCGCCGAAAATATTGACACCCACTACACCGCCTTTGGCCAAGGCGACATTAGTTACCCCAGATTTCATGGATTCATCGTTAACTTCGAGCACAAGTACTATAGTGGATGAGTCGCTTAGCATTACAGCAGCCGTGGTAAAACCTTTGAATATGGAATGTCAGTCATCTACTGAGAATTTAGTGAGTTCTCCACATAAACATAACAAAGAAGACAACAGTATGGGGAATAATGTTTCACAGCAATTGCATAATAGCTACCATAGCCACAATGTCTCAGGCTCCAGTAATGGTTCCACTCCAGATCTCGACGATGGTATGATCGATCATCATGAACAACAACAAATGTCACAAACAAATTCTAAACATGATGATAAATTTAACAAGAATTTAGGGAATGTACAAACCTATAGGTAAGATTTCACATAATGCAAGGGAGGTTATGTTCGTACTATATTTGTTTTACATATATCCAGAGAATATAAAGAAGCTCTTAAACAACAACGCAGTCAGGAAGTTTATAAAATCAAAGAACAAAAACATACCGGGGAGTCTAATGAACAACAACAACAGCAGCAGCATCATCATCCTCATCAACAACAACAGCAAACAACTAATGCTGCCCTTGTGCCCCCAAATAATCAGAATCCAATCAATGAGGAGATGGAAATTCGGTTAAATGGGAATACGCAATGCGCTCCAGTGCCAAAATCCATAATGAAAAATAGTGCCAACAACACAAACGGTTTATCCAACTCTGTAGCCACAACGAATGGCGATGATATTGTAGTCATACCAAAGAAACCCATACAAAAAGTTATACCCTCTAGGAATACAGAACTGATGTCAGCGACAACAAAGAACGAATTATCGACACCGAATAACACCAATGGCGATTGCATTGGCTATGTAAAGCCAAGTAGCCCTATGAAAATGGCCAATGGTACTTCAAATGGGAGTATAAACACGGCCACAGTGTCTGGCGTGGGAGTGGGCATTTTAACGAATAATAACAAATTTACAACGACGTCTGCAGGAGGTGGTATTAGCAGCAGTAACAATAAATTGGTAGCAACGGGAAAGCCACATCGGTAAGAAACGATTCTATAATATGAAGCAGTAGAATTCCTTATATATTATTTATCTCCCAGAACTGTTACTTGGAATCATGATATACCGCCAGAGAAGTTAAGTTTCACCATGCGTCGGGAGTTTGATCGTCAGCGGGAGGAGATTGAATTAATGACTCAACTACGAAGTGTATGTCTTGCCGTACTATATTTAAAATTACATTTGATATCATAAAATGTATTTGTAGATTATTGAGACCCGTTTGAAAATGACACTACCCGAGGACATTGCATCGGCATTAACAGATGGTGTTATTTTATGTCATTTAGCAAATTATGTACGACCTCGTTCGGTGGCCAGCATTCACGTTCCCTCGCCAGGAGTAGTGAGTTTTTCCAATGTCTTTTTAAATGCAATTTCAGTGTTGGAAATTCTAACCAATTCTATCTATTTGCTTTTGTTTTCAGTCGAAATTAACAATGGCTCGTTGTCGTCGAAATGTAGACAATTTTCTGGAAGCCTGTCGTAAAATTGGTGTAGATGAGGTGAGTACAGTCAAATCGTATATTTTTCCTTCGTCCTAGTAAAAGCATTTCATTTCGTTATTAACATGTCCTTTTAACAAATTCTAACATGTTGTATCTATATTTGGGGCATTTACATTGAATGGCTTTAGTTTTGAAATTTTTGAGAATTTTGACAATAATAATAATTTCACATGAATTCTATTGGAATTCCATTGTAGTTTTAATTCTATTGTTATATAAGTAGTTCCATTGTTGCTAATTATTTGACAAAAAAAATTTAATAACGCGAAATGTAGATATTATTACACAGTTATAAAACTTGTGGATTATTCGGGTTACGAAATATGGATCAACTGCATGAATACATTTTGGGTATAAATACCAAACATTTGAAAATTAACAAGAGAACTATTTCAATAAAAAAAAAAAAATAATTGGAAGTTATAAATAATTTTTAATAATGTATTTGTATAATAAGAGTTAGATGATTTCCTTCTCTATAACATTGATTTTATGGAATAAAATTACAAATGAAGCTATTTCCTATTGAGAAATTGTACATTTACAAATCTTAAAACAACATGTAGAACAATTTTTTGCAAAACCATTCATTTGAAAAGAAACAAATGGCCTGTTCCAGAACTGCAGAACTAATAGATTCTTGCTCGTTCTGGAACAGATCAAAAATCTTTCAAATCCGAGCAAATATTTATAAACGTCACATAAAATTGTGTGGTATACTACTAAAAGTTCATCGTGTCGTCTTTAGCCACTTAAATCTTCTGGTTAGTTGAAGAATTATTGCAGAATCTGTGTAAGATAATGAAGGAGTACAGGGGTGGTCTAACTGAATTCTAAACTTCAATGTCAGTTGATTTGGACACCCCAGGCTCATTTTATGAAATTACAATATTCAATGGAATATTGTAATGTGCTGGTACTTAAAATAGCTTGATGGACAATCCAGCATTTTCCACTCCAAAATTCCCATAGATTTAATGGTAAAATTATTTTTAAGCCTTCAGTGCCGCTTGATTATCGATGTATAAAGTCTCCGGACCGTTTAAATTAATTTTTGTTTACGAGTAGATCTACAGGGTGAGAAAAAAAACTGCAACAAAGTCAAAAGCCATAATTTTTACATTTTTTTTTTTAAATTTTATTGAATGAAAGCAAAAAATGTCGGAAATAGCATTAAATTTTAGAATAAGATTAGATTTGTTCGAATTGATCACTTTTGGCACGAATTATAGCCTTCAAACGACCAATGAAACCGTCACATGCTGCCCGAATGTTGCTCGGCTGTGTTTGGCTCATTCGACATTGATCGACAAATTTGAATTTGTCAACCTTACTCTTCAAAATACTCCAGGCACAATAGTCCAACGAATTGGTATCCGGAGATTTTGGTGATCATTGTTCGATGAAGCGAGGAACCTCATTTTGTAACCATTTTTGGGTGGCGCGTGATGAGTCCTGTTGGAATGTCCTAGGTCTGCGGCCAAAATGTTTGCGTGCCCAAGGCTTTAATACATCCTGCAGAATATTTTCGCGATAATATTCGTCATTGCCACGGTCGATTAATACGAGCGGAGAGCGACCATTGGCTGTTATGGCGGCCCACACCATTACCATGGCCCACGCTTAAGTTCTGGTGGCCAACCGAAGGTGCACATTTTCAGCTGACCTCTTTGGCAAGTAAACACGATCATTTTGTTTGTTTACAAACTGTTGGACAACGAATGTTTTCTCATCGGAAAAAACCAAATTCGGCAGTTCACCCACCACTTTAAGCCAAGAAAAGCATCTCTTTGGCTCTACTGAGTCTAATTTTAGAATTTCAATGGCTTTACCCCGAGCTCATTTTTCAAAATTTGCCGAATGGAATTTGCAATATGTTCAGCTCACGAGCCATTTTCGGCCCTTGCGACGCGGGGTTCGATCAAGTCGCTTCTTTACTTTTCGAACCATTTATTCTGATGGGCTACGCTACCAGTATCACGGTAACGAGCGATGGTACGAGAAACAAAAGATTTATTCCCATTTAAATGCTGGAGTGCTCTAACGATAGCCACTTTTGGTTTTCCAGCCAAATATAAAGAAATCACACTATCACGCTTAAATTTCATCACGAATAACTTTTTTTCTGGAAAATTCTCACCAAAATGCTTTTGTACTTTTGTAAACAATATAATGAGCTGTCACTAGAATAATTTTAACAGCTGTGGGACGAGTGGCTTAGAAATGACAGCAGTCTGAAGTTGGTTGCAGTTTTTTTATCTCACCCTGTATGGATTTTACGTTTGTTGAGGATATTGCAAAAGACCCCAACACCCGTCCCACAGTCCATCTTAGAACGTCGGTATAGACGGCTATACCGCATAATGGTGGATTGTTATGGGTCCATGTCAAGTATGTGGATGTCAAGTGGTTCTATGTTTAGCCATGGGGATATATAGTCACTAATATTGACTTCTCTTCCTATACATTTATTGCGCCATTGTTTAAGATCTCTGAGTTAAAGAACACACCTGAGTGCCTGTTTCTCTACGTGAAGACTTAATGGTCTTTAGCAAAGTTGGGTATATAGTGCGACCTGAGGTGTGATTCTAGATGTAGCTGTGATCAGTAGCTATGCGGCTCTTTAAAATTTGTCAATGCCTCGTCTGTAGGATAACTTACCTACAGAGTGCCACCAGACTAGAGCTTTATAGGCTAGGATCGGGAGAACAATTGTTTCATATAAAGACAAACTTTATTGAAAGTGTTGATTATTGGTTCTATGTTAGTTCGGTAGTTCCAATATATAATCCTCCGTTTTTGCGCCAATTGCGCAATATATGCCAAAATAGAGGGAACTTTTGCAAAAAAGTATCACAAATTTGAAGAAAAATGGTTAAATTTAAAGAAAATCGGTTGATATAGCTTTACCTTTATAGGTTTCAACCGATTTAGCTATTTTGTATTTCCTGGTGATATTAATGACATTTTATATCAGACATCATATAAACTCTAGCATTTCTCATTACATGTTACCAATGTTATAATAAGCGAGGTGTCAGACTGAGCTGAGATAACAGATTATATATTTCATCCGATGTCACATGAACTTTTTTGTAAAAGCATGCTCCTTCGTCAAATATTTGGTGATAGATACCATGGCAAGTGTTGGGGCAAATTCCATGCCAAAGATGGGATTAGGTAATAAGTCCATACGTACGATACAAAAATGATTTAGGTTTTTTACCTTCCACTGGTAAAAGACCTAAAAGAGATGCTAACCCATATCACTTGTACCTATGATTGAACACCATCTTTGGTATCGAACTTTTTGATGTTTGTCAATAGTCGTAGTCTTAATGTTTTTATATAAAAACCGTTTATTAATTATTAGAAAAAAAAAAAACAAAAATGTTTGTCGCGGTGTTAGGAAGGAACCACAAATCCTCATCTACTGTCTTGATTTTTTATTTCTAGTTATTTTTCTCAGGATTTGTTAAAATATATATAAATACAATACATATATGAACTGAACGAATATTTTTTTTTAATTTCTTCTAAATTTGACAACTGAACTTAATAAAATGTCATATTCACTATTATGTATTCGATATCCGATGTCTTGATGTATGGATACAAATTGTAAACCATTTCAAAAATCAGAAACTTTCCACAGAACGATTTGGGTCTGGAGTATTGCCTCATTGGCTTAACTTCTAATATTCTCTATTACAGAGAGTAATTTTTTTCAAAACGAAGCTGTCAGCTTTGCAATATGTGCTGTTCGCTACTAATATCATCATTTCATCCCGAATAAGGGAATGGTAACTTGTCTTTTCAAAAATTAACAATGTTAATTTTTTCGTTAAATTAATATAAAAAATATCAATATTGACTGTCCTTAAACAAGTACAGAGTAGGTCTACAGGCTTTGAAAACATTTTTTTCGTTAAGGATCTGAAACATTTTTACGATCCTTGAGCTCCGTCAGAAAATCAAAGCATGAATGGTTTGCGTGTTTAGAAAATTTTAATTGAATAATCATTTCTTAGGAAATTTGAGAAGATAATCTAAAACTCATAGACTTATAGACACATACACATATTTATAGTTGAATACATATGAAACAATTTTGATTGCAATAAAAATAACCAAGTCAATATTTTTGGCCTTTATACACAATGCACACATTATGCACTCACATCGTGAGTGCCTAAAAGTATGCTATATATTTCATGTCGGTTAACGACATGAACTTTTGTAGCACCGTTTAATATAAGTTGATTTAGATAAAGCATATGATTTTAATTATTTTGAAAAATAATTTCTATGATATTTTCAAAAGATTTGCAACCCAATAAATTGTAAAAAAGTAAAAGATTCTAAAGCTATTCAAGTAAAATCCCCAATATTATCATTATTGTATTATCTATTCAATTGAAAACCCCTTGCCCCACCTCACAACTCCTCACTTAAAGAAATAGTTGTACCAAAAGTTGTTTACAAATGAATCTGTTATTTGGTGTTGGTTGCAGGAGTTGATTTGCTCCTGTGCGGATGTTGTACCCCTCTCTGACAATGGTGTTGATGATGACGACGGAGTTAATGGCGGTAATTATGACGTGGACGACCAACCTAGTGACAGCAACATGCGAAAGAAAATTCTTAAGGAAAATAATAACCACAATGATCTCCATTTTTCAATCAATGACCAACAACGACAGAAGGTAGTACAGCCACAGTGCAAAGAACTACCAAATCTCACTGCTGTATTAAAGACAGTAGCTGCTCTGATTGCTTTGGATGTGAATCCTCATCATCAGAATGTTACGAATTTGCAACAACAACATGACTTTCAAGTCAAACTCCAACAATATGAAAAGAAACAACAAAAACTAAAACTAGAAAAGGAAGATAAACGTCGTTGCATTCTCTTGGAGGAGGACGAACGTGAAGAGGAAGAAGAGAAGGAAATGAGAATGCTGCAACAACAGAAGGGCAAACAGCAGCAGCAGCCAGAAGAGCAAAAACAATTTTCTGCAACTTGCACCAAAGAACAGATGATGAGGGAATTTGAAAAATCCAATTTTGAACATTTGAATCGTTACGATAGTAACAGAAATGTTGATGATCATGATCATGGTGGACATCATGATTATAAAGTGTACCATGACAATGAGAAGCAGCAGCAGCAACCGCAGCAGCTACGCCAGTTAAAAGTCAATACATCTCTTGGCAACTTTTATCGTCACTGCAAATTGAAAACGTTTCAAAAAATCAAACTGAACCTCATTACACACCATGGCAATGCGACAGATAGTTTCGGAAGTTCATCGGAATTGAATGCAACAACTACATTGCAAACAATTGTTGAAACCGATAACGACGTTATATCTGGTATCGGTGGCAGTTACGCGACGGGAACTTCCTCCAACTCAACCGGTCTATACCAAATCGTGGATGAAAAATACAATAATGAATTGTCACTAAAGGTCATTAGTTCCTTGAATGAGATGTCAGGATCATCCCAGCAGACTCCTAATAAATATCAACTATTGGAATTGCCTTCCGCGGAGAAAAATATTGGCGAAAAGCCATCCCTTGCTACAGTCACTTCGGTGTCCAAACGTATTGAGTTCTTCGAACATGCCAATATACCAAATGGTGGTATAATCAAACCAAAATCAAATATCTACAGTATTTATCGTGTCAACGAAGCAGCCGTTGAATCCGAAGAGAAGTTACTAACCAAAGATGTTCTGCTGAAAGAGAAGCAAGCTGGTTCTTCCATATTTATGCTGAGACATGATTCGCATACCTTAACCATAATTTTGTCATGTGTTTTTATTGTGACATTTTTGTTGTTGATTTTCTTCCCACTGCCGGGATAAGTAAGGGGACTTGTTCAGGGATTGAGTGACGGACGTAATCCCTGATAAAAATATCCTTACCACTACATTTATTTAGCCGTTGCATTGCCATTTTAGCTTAATGCCAACTACATAAAGAGATATGATTTTTAAATCATACACAAGCGAATATGTGTAGTATTATTTTTACAGAATTAATTAATGCGCTGCTTTTATTCATTCTCTATCAATGAGTCAAATATACAATAATTAAATATTTATTAGAGGCTGCTTCCATTTTTAAGCAAAGTACTTAAACAATTTATAATGATTACCAAAAGAAAGAGGAAGAAAAAAACTTCAACAATTTTAGTAAGTGAATAACGAATTTTATTAAAGAATAATTTATTCGATTTCAGTATTTAAGTATTTAATCCGTAGTTTTTAGGTAATTACTTCATCAATGAACAGAAGACACAAAACACATATACACTAACTTATACACGAATGCATTTATACAAAAGAACAAGATATAATAACACACAACTATATACACATATATACTAAACCCAAAGACTTGAACTGAATTATATAAATAAAACAAATATTCCATTTAATAATTTCCTTAAAATAGTTTCACCAATGAAACTCTAAAAAGAAAACGATAACAAAAACTAACAATTTTTACCTTTTATATCCCACTTATCCAACTCTTTGGTTCAGTATTAGAAAAATAAATGTTATAGGAGCTTATTGCAAGTTTTTGAACTAGTACGCATTTTATTTAAAAATGCATCAAAAAATAATACATTCCAGGACATTATTGTTGTTCTATGAAATAAAAACTTTTGCAAAGAAAAAATACCAAATAAAATATTTGTTAAAGAAAATGTTTATTTTTCATTTCGAGGATTTATAGAACAACACCCATGTCTCTGGAGTGGAAAAAAATTTTAGTTTTTTTGGTAACTTTAATATTTGAAATTTTGTAAATCTCCATTGTATTAATTTATTTATTATATTTTAATATATTTTTTTTCATTGACAAATTTAAAGTGTAACGTTAATCTCGTCTACTCTCGTCTACAAACGAATGAATCTGATTTTTTAAACCAACCATATAATTGTATACTGAATTTAGTTACAAACATAGAATATACCAAATTTATATTAAACAAATTAGCCCGTACGATAACGTATTACTCTCTGTTTTAAACTTCCTTTAGATTGAAATGAATAGGAATGAAATGATCAAAAAGAAGGTTTAACTAAAACAAGCAGGGAAAGAGTTTACTAGAATAATAAGTAGCTGATGCCAAGGACTAAAGAAACAATATTTAAATGGAATCATATTGAAATTAGTTTTCATTTCTATTGCACCAAATTATATATTTAGATATGAATAGATATGTAACGCATACAACAAGAAAAACAGCAAAAAAGCAACAGAGTAACAATCTGAAAATATTCGAATACAGTGCCTTAATATTGAAAGTTGTTAGTGGACACAGTCATGCATTTTATCGTGAACGCCATGACCTGTGAACATTCTAAAAAAGAGTGATGCAAACAATTGGAACCTTGAATATGTGTTAACTTGTATTTGCCAAATAGAACTTCCCCTTCGGAATCTCATCAATATGATTTCATAGCTAATAACCAACACATACATACAAATATATTTTTATATGACAACAGAATATAATACACGAACTACTAACATTCCTTTAATTTCTTAGAAAAGAAAAACAAATATTAAAATCAAACAAATATCTTTAAGAGGACTAGATTTAGCTTTTAATAGAATATAACAAAAAGAAAAGAAAAACGAAAAGCAGCTAAAACCAGAACCAATTTTGTTCTATTGAATTTTAAAATGGCACTTTTCATATTATCCATACACTATATATAGATATTTATTAGATACATATGTATATTTTATGAAGCAACAATTTTGGGATAAACACACTTTTCCATTTGTATGTATTTATAAGGAAATTGATTATACCACAATTTATACAAATTGTAATTTGCAATGCAATTTTGACTCGCGAAAATTTTGGCAAACACTATATACGAAAAAAAAATTAATGTAAATTGTCAGATTTTTGAAAGGCCCAAAGTGTATCGTAGCCTTTCCTATACTGACAATGATTTTTCTTCTACAAGTCTTTTGTTAATTGCAGAGGGTATTTATCTGCTTTATTTATATAAAATAAAAAAAAAAAACACGAAAACAATGTATTGGCAATACAATATACATGTATGCATTTAATACACAATATAGTAGATAGTATTATAAACATGCCCAACCAAAAAAAAAAAGTTTGTACCTCTGTAGTACACTTGCATTTATTTGTTTAACACGCTAATAATTAATGCATTGAAACACAAACACACTTACGAAAAAAAAAAAAAACAATTATATTTATTCCATAAACGAAATGTTCTGTATGACAAGTAATTAATATATGAACTAATTTTGATACTAAATATATGAATAAAACAAAAAATATATATAATTTTTCTGAATTTTATTATATGTGCGTAGAGTCGTAATAACTACTGAAACACATTTATATCTGAATTACTTATGATGATCAACCAGTTGTGTTTATTGGTATCGAAACTGGACAATGTTTGATTTTTACATCTTAGATCAACACTCTGGGATTAAATATTTAAATATAAAAATCTAGTAAAATATATTTTTTTCCACAACCGTTGATACAAAATACATTAATAAAACCAGTAAGGAAAAGTCAAATGTCGGGCATTGCCGACTATATGATACCCTACACCACTATGCATATTTAGTAGAGCTCCCCTAACAAAAGAATTTATTTCAAGTGGATCATACCAATTATCAACATTTGGCTTTAGAGCAGTTATAGTTTGCAATAGAGTGCATGATATTATTTGGAGAAGGATTATGTTAAAAAAATCTATATCGGAGCCGAGTTGCACAAAATGAAAACGTAAGTCCGAAGTTCACTTCATTTGGGCTGATATTAGCCATTACTTGCACAATAAACTTGAAATTGGATTATGGATATTTATGTGAGGGACTGAACACCAGATCGGATGAACCAAATTTGATGTAAATGCTTCTAGACTGAATTCGGTTGGATGTACCAAAATTCAGGAATTTTTGAACAGTTATTGGCCAATTGGTGCACAATTAACCCGAAATGGGTTGAAGACATATATGGGACCGGGACCTATATCCAAATCTGAAGCGATCTTGATAACATTTATCAGAGGTATTTTCGAGCTTTATAAGATATCTGGTACCGAATATCATTGTTGTCGAATGCATATTTCGAATCTGAGGGACTTAAACACCAAATCAGATGAAATATATATGTGTGAGCTATAGCCATATCTGAACCGATTTTCACTAAATTTATTGTATTTGCTTCTAGACTGAATTCTGTGGGATATGCCCAAATTCGGTCCATGTGGGCTGATATTAGCCATTTGGTGCACAATTATCCCGAAATCGGATGAAGATGTATGGAAACTATATTTAAATCTGATCCGATTTTCACCAATTGTAATAGGGCCAAATAAATATTGTTTGGAAAATTTAATCTCAATCGGATAATAAATGCGACATGCATTTTGTTTACAAGAATACAAGGATGGGCGGAAAGATGAACTGACATGCATAAATCGACTCAGAATGTGATTCTTTGAAGATCCCCAAAAGTAACTATGGATCTATCTCGCTTCCTTCTACACCACTATGTGGTGTAGGGTAATTGCTTCATGTCCATATCTTAAATAATAAAGCTGTATAAATTGATATTTTTTAAAATTTCCCAATTGTATTATTATCAATTAAAAAATATACGTTTTTCTATTGCTCAGTGTTATTTCAAAAATACAAACAAATTAGATTACGTTCTGTCCCAGGTGAATTTGTTCAAATGTGAAATTTCTTACGTTCGACATATTTCTTTATTATTCGTATAGCTATGTGTTCGTGGTAAAAATGTCGAGTGAATATATTTATCAGATTTTTATTTATTCTGACATCATAATGAACACTAGAGAAGCTTATCGCTGTAGTCACTTTGAACTCAAACGATATGGCACAGGGGTGGATTTTAAGAGTTTTCGCAATTATATCACTTGAATCGGATCAGAGTTATGTAACAAACTAACCACACACAATAGACGAATTATGCGCAGTCTTATATTTGATAGTTTTGGACTATCGATTTTGAGTCGCCTGTCCAGCTATGTATACGTATATATACACCGAAATCCAAAAGACAGCTGCACCGGAACTCTCTCAAGTATAAATTACTGCACCATCTAGATATGACATATTATAAGTCCGGGCGGGAAATACTGGTATTCCTTATAAGTAAGAATTATTGCATTAATTTAAAGAATGAAATGTGGTGTTTTCCCTGGTTCCCCTAAATGTTTCTCTTTCCATTATGATATTGATAAAGAAAAATACGAAATTCTTGGTATCTAAAGAAACCCCTTAAAAGCTTTTTAGACCTAGTTCCACCCATGTTATGTCTGAGTTATAACCATAAGCGAAAACTTTTATGAGCTTCTCTACGTAACGTGAGCTGATGATTATTCTACTAGGTATCTCATCAAATCATTCTGTTAAGATGGACTTGAGAAAATGTACAAAATCTAGTTTCAGGATATCAAGAGGTATATTTTTCTCTATATGACACACTTTCTTATGCAGCGCTGTCTTAAAAATCTTGCTATTTAATGAAAATTAGTTGGGTAGCGCAGATGTAGGCGATTAGAGGAGTTTAATGATATCACAATCCAAAAACTTCAGGTTCATTAGAAATATAAAAGTTTTAACTGCAGGTAGAGCAGAGTTCATTTAAGTCAGTTGGAAATTTCGATTTTAAAGTTGGACCCTGAGATGATTATTTTTTAAACCTCTTTCCTATTGTAATGTCCAAATGTTTTTTTTTTTTTTTTTGATAATTTTTCCCTGTTCGAATATCGTCAAATATCACATGTTTATGATTTAATTTTTCTTTCGAGACTAATGATCTAAAATTTCTGGGAAAAGTGAATACTTTTTATCCTTTATTAACAACTAAATTAATTATTTTATAAAATTAACTACTATATAAAATCCAAGCGGACAAAATATACATGAAAACTCAAAATTATTTATTTTGTTGATCGCATCAATATGCAATTTCTCAAACCACTTATAAGTTATGTGTTAAACCACTTGGAAAGAACATTTTGGGTTGCATTTTTATTTCACATTTCAAAAGCGTTTTTTTTTTGGGGCAAGGTAAGGAGTTATGTTATTGATTTATCGGCAACTACATTTTATCGATTTCAAATCTTAAAACGATCTTGAAGTGTGATCGCTTAGTACTCGTTTTTCAATACTGTGATATATGAATAGATAAGTTTTATTGTATTTGAGATAATCATTTCCATGCCTGTCTGTCTTATCATTTCAGAATTTAATTTGCTGTGCCGCCGATGTGCTCGAAGGTAAAGGTGCTGTCCAAGTGGCCATAACTGTCTGTGAATTATTCCGTTTGCACAGTGGCAATATACAAAATTCAAAATCACCAACACGAGCCAGCCGTGCAGCCCTAACACCGTCACCGATTGTCTAAATTGTGCTTCAACCTGCTCCTCCACACACCAACATTTTATTTCAATATTCAGCCACGGGGAAGAAACATAGGTTCCTTAACATTTGAAGAATTTCACATAGAAATTATCTTTTGTTGTTGTGAAAAACAAATGAAAACTTTAAGTATTGTGAATTGTTGTGAATGCAAAGAAATTTTGCTGCCATGTAATAATACTCGACGTACAGTCAACGAAAATGGATGCAGAGATGGCACGTTGACATTGAGTGAAAAAATGAACGAAAAAATTCAATTTTCAATTTAAGCTTAGTACAATTTTTGTTTAATATTTTTATAAACATCGTTTTATTTTTTCATTCTTTTTTATATATATGTGTACATTTTTATATATTTTTTTTATAATTTTGATCAAGACTTTAGTTCTGTAATTTTAAGTAGACATGGTTTTGTTTATAATATTTACGATAAACAAATAGAAAACGGAACAAATCAAACTCAAATCCTGTAAATACATGACACCAAAAATATACTGAATTATATAGACTAAATAGTTATAGTACATAGAAGTGTAGTACGTGTTACTACTATAAACGCATATATAACAAGGGTCTATTTATTGTATGTGCTCGCAAACGTACGTACATATAGGCTTACCCACATATTTATAGTATGATATTTATATATAAATAAACAAATGAATTTAATCACACCAAGACATTCATTCACCGCCCAGAGTCGAATAGAACGCATCTAGTTATAATTTTAACTTAAAACACACAGACACATCCACATAATTTATCTTAACTTTGGCTAAGCACTATAACTATCAATGAAACATTCAGAAATCACATTAAGCTGATAGTAAGAAACGAAGACAAAAATAGCAAAAGAGAATACGAGAATCAACGAAAGTCATTGGAATAGTTTTGGTTTTTGTATGCGTTCGTTGTCGGTCCAATGCAGAAATTACTCGGTTCAATATTTTGGAACAAAGCGCGATAGAGGTAATTATTGGAATAATTGTGGTTCGTTACTTATTACAAATAGGTCGTTTATTAATGACACTCGAAAATGATTTAGCCATAGAGCCGACAATATATTTTTTATTTAAATTTTTGTTTTTTTTTTTTTTTATTATAATTTCATAATTTATATTTTTGTCATTATATCAGTTTTATTTCACATCAATACAATGCTCTACATGTACTACAATATTTTGTGATTAAATATCTAAAATTACATTTTTTAAATATGATGTATATTATTGTTTATGATTAGGAATGAGTGAAAAGGTAAACAATTAAGAATTTGGAAATATTCAGAGGTGTCGTAAGTATTTTCGAACGTTAATGCAAATATTTGAAGGCAATTCATTTCGAGTAATTTGAATTCTAATAGGAATACAAGAATGAAAGACATTCTAAATTTCGGATAAATAAGTTAATAAGTTCATTCATCGTTCATTTAGTCAAAGTGTGTCATAGCCAAAAATGGAGATTTTGCAGAAAACTCACTTCAAAAATTATTTATTAAATTGGTTTTTATATATTCAATCGGCGCAAGATCAAACATCATAAGACGTATTATATAGCTTCAACAGCTCAATAGAGGAGTGTTAAGTTTTTTAAATTGCCGATCAATATGTGTAAATTATCGCTGAAGACAAGAGGTAAGTTTGACACAATATAAAGAAGACTATAAAAAATCGGTATTTTAGGCGTAATCAGCATCAAAGTGAAGATCAGAAGTGCCATATGTATATGTGGATGCATCAGGAAGGGACCTCCAGCATTGAAAATATTTTTATTTAATAAAGAAAAACAATATCAGCAATTCGCCACATTTATAGGACAATATCTTTAAATTTTGCACAACCAAATTGCAAAAGGGACGCCCTATGTTCTGGATAG